GATCTGCCACCAGAAAGCAGAAAACTACTGTAGTCAGCAGCAAATAATGATGTAGCACCACAGCATACACAATACAGCAGAACTGAGTTTCGATGGATCCCAATGACAAACTCAATGTCAGAATTATCCAGCATGTCAAGCAGTGGCACTAAGTGGGACAGTCTCATCTGGCTACCAAATCATTCAACAGGCCTATTTTAAGAGTTTTTTATTGCATCAGCCTCGTACGAAAGCAGCATTCAGAGTTCATGAAAACATTTGTCTGTGCCTAATAAACATTTCCAGGGAAATCACTCATGTTAACTATGTGAAGCATTCAGTCCAGACCTTTCCACGTAGTTACAAGCACACTCTGCTGTGTAGTATTCTGCCTAATTTATAATTAAAAAGCTACAGCATTCAAGTGACAGTTTAGGCACAGAAAATTCTCAGACTATGTTCTAAGAAGGACTCAAGAGAAAGTCGTTACTCTGATTTTTTCTTCAAAATTCTAGCTGATTTCACCCTTCAATACCTGATGTCTAAGATGTAACAGCTATTTTAGCTGTCTACACGAATTGAGGGTAGTGCTAGATGTAAGTGTTCTTTGTCTAAAGAGACAACTGCTTACAGTTTGTAGACTCTCAACACATGCACACTTTTGGAGTCCTTAGGAAGAGTAATTTCAGACAATCATCTGTGGGATGGCAGAGTAAAAAGGCACCCTCTTCTTCAAGAAACCCCCACTAAGCACAGAAAGGGGAGGCTTGAAATCGATTTTTCCCCAGTGGGCAAACACTCCCTAGTCATAACTCATCTCTTCCGGAACAAGCCACCACCACTACTGTTTATGTGAGAAGCCAGCAGCATGCTGACAATGACTCCTAGACCTGAAGGGTAAGTCCAAAAAACAGACAGGGACACAGTAAGAAGAGGTATTCTCAAAATTCCAAGTAGTCTTGGCAGAAAACAAGAATGAAATCCTTAACATTAGTCATACCATATGTAGCTTTGTAGGGAAGGGGGAACAATTTTTAAGTGTTTATAGCTTTCTATTGATTGCCATTATAATAATAAGACAACCTATAAACAAAATGGTACTCGAAAGCTATTGGTTCAGGTACAAACAGTTAAAACAAGATAATCACATTAACCTGTACCAGGTCTCTGGCTTCTCTAAGTTAGGTATTTCGTTAAATGTACACATTCCAGTACGTTCACTTATTTTTTATAATCTAGGCTTTCAGAAGCCCACTGGGGATTTGCTTTTGTCCCAGCAAGAGTCATCTACTAAACAAGCAATAACAATCTAATTGAGCAGATGTCATTTGTCTTACCTTATCTACATTTGCTCTAGTTTTGGCAGAGGTTTCTACATACTGCACACCCCACTCCTCTGCTTTACTTCTAGCCTCTTCTACAGGCACTTGTCTGCGCTCTTCCAAGTCAGATTTGTTTCCCACTACCAGTAAAGGGATTTTATCTTCTTCAGCCTTCACACGTAGGATCTGTTCCCTAATGCATCAGGTAATCCAAATAAAAATATCCATGTTAGTAGTAGCAACAAAAACCCCACTCTTATCAGCAGTGGATCAAGTGGTCTGCACATTACCAGTACTTACAACAGTACTCAACAGTACGTATCCCAGCAGTTGATCACACACTTTGAAAGTATTCCAAGTTAAACATACTAATGCTGTGGGCTTTACACCCATAGAAACCCCACACTTCTAGGAAGGCAGTTTAACCATTTAGTTTGTACGTTTCCTATCCAGGCTATAATAAAACGTATGGCAGAAGAGCAACTCACAACAGGAGCTCACACCTGAATTAGGAACAGAGTACAAGTGACACATTTGCAAAGTTTCACCTTGGCAATTAGTCACCATCTTCCATTTCCAGTCTAGATACCACCTCAATATAGGTCTTGGCAACACCAAGACTTTGCCAAGGCAGTAGGTTGGGAACAGCGTACGTAGGTGGCAGACACCATTCTTAATGCATACTAAACTTTACATAAAGGAGTTACTAAATTGTGCTGAACTGAAATGCTAATCACCTTCCTCTTCAAAAAGACTCCAAGAAAATACCTGAACCATCAGCATTAACCTAGCTATTCTTTGTCATTCTAAAAGGACCTTTCTGCATGTGGAAAAGAGACCATGATGTTGCAGGTCAGTCTCAATGTCTGTGCTATTATTGGAGTAAAATATGGGTTGAAACCAGACTGACACATGTTGCTGTCCATCTAGGACTCTGGAAGAGCTGTCTACAGTTATTTTTTGATTGGGTCATTTTGTTACGAACAACAGCCAAACTAGGGACAAGCATGGTGCTGCATCCCCTCAGTCCAACCTACTTCAGAGGCTTGCCCTTTCCACCCACAAAATAACTGAATGTATGTCGAGTACGAGAATCTAAACCAGCATTAACACTCAAGTGGACATTCTGCTGTTGCATTCAGCTGCACCTTCACACGTTCTCAAATTAGAGAGGCACTTAAAGCAATTACTGAATGCATAGCATCAGCAGGTGAGATAGGGTTTAAAGACAAGTCCATAGCTCATTCAGTATCCAACTTATTCATAGTTTAAGAACTGAAGATATTACAGAATCAATAATACCAATCTGTAGTTTAGCCTGTGATGCTGGTGACTCATACTAGACATGCCCTTCCTCCTTCCTAGGGAGGAGTTTTCCAAGGAGCTGGTTCTCACATGTCAGCCTAATTAAATACTCCATTTAACTAATTTCACTATTTGTTTACTTCTGACCCATTGAAAAGTAGGAGATTCTCCATCTCTAAGATTTTAGACGTTTCTTGCTCATTGCCCTTGTTTAGGGCTTACATAGCTTTTTCATTGTTTTGTTGTGCTGGAATCTTGAACCAACATACAGTTAACCTAGTTACAGAAGTCTGACAAAAAACCTGCAAACTGCCAAGATAAACACCCCTGCTCCTTTGCATCCAAAGCCTTAAGCCTTGGATTTAACCTTACACGTCACTTTAGCACACTAGCCAAAACATAGCCTGAGTATTTCCAAGTGTCACATTTTCTTCCTGCTTTTTGTAATGGTATTGAACTTTCTTCTATTCTATACTATGAAGAGTCCAAGTACTCAGTTTTTTTCGTCCTACAACAGTTCAGCTGTTTAACTCTTAAGCGCTTCAGTTAGAGCAAACTGAGCAGAATAGCTCTGCTTGTGTTCCCTACCGCTGCCAGCCTTCTAAAGTCTAGCAAAGGTGCAGAAGTGTTATGTGACAAAGGAATAACATTTTTATACCTCTTTAAAGTCTCCAGTCTCCTACTACTTTTGGAATAGTATAATACATTAAGAACCTGGATTAAAGTCCTAGAATGTGAGGAGAGTTTGCCATAGCTTCATGAATAACCTAGAAATAGGTGTCTACCTTGCATCAATATTTGCATTACCAATTAGTATCTGTTAACCTTGCATCACTGGAGCAAAGTGAACATAAGCCAGACTGATAAAGAGCTTTTATTCTGACAAACATAAGGAATACCTAACACTTACCTAACACTTTCCCTGTGTTTTGGCAAGTTTGATTTCAAGTTGTACAGCTGTCCTAGGGAATCTCTGGATTACCTTCAACACTGAGGCAACAGCTATTATCAAATAAGAGTTTAAACCATTGCCCTGAAAAATCCAGCTACATGAATTCTGAGACAAAAACAGATTAAACCCCTTGTTTTTATTTCACACTAAACAGCAGTTTCTGTGCTCAGTCTGGTTCTGAATTTTGTGTTAGAACTGCTAATCCCCAGAACAAAAATGGAAGCATTTACTACTACTGTGTGTCTTTCTAGGAATAGATCTGCCTACAACAGCAGTGCTTGGCTGCCAACCCTTGTTTGGCACCAGTCCATACCTGAGAATGGAGGCTAATCCTTCCTTTCCTTGGAGCACCTGCTTCTAGCAGGTACAGTGTCTGAAACCTGGCCAAAAGGCAGACTTAATTCCAGAAGTACGGCTCTAAGATAATTAAACTTCACATCCACAAAGACTGAAAATTGGCTTGAATGTGCATGTTTCAGGAGCCCAAGAATCTCTTACTTGTCTGAAGTTGTGCTTTGCGTAATGTACTCATAAATTCAAGGCATAAAGACAACTAGCGCCACAGGCTGGATATTGTGGTTTAACTTACCAGTTACTGAGAGCAAAATGGCTGGGTTGCCATGCTTATTAATCAACTGGCAATGGACAAAGGCTAAAGAGTTGCACATTTTAAGAAGAGTTGTCAGAGCAACTTGGGAACCAGATATTTCCCCTGCCTGGAAGAGAAACTACTTACCGAAACTCTGCTGTTGCTGTAAAGGATTCATGCTCTGTTATTGAGAAGACTAGAAGAAATCCTTCCCCACTGCGGAAATAGTTATCTCTGATAGCTGCATAATCCTCTTGTCCTGCTGTGTCCAGAATGTCTATCTGCACTTCTTCACCATCCAGAACTACTTTCTTCCTGTAGCTGTCAGCCTTGGTAGGTTCATAATCTTCCACAAACTGAAGATAAGGGATTAGAGTTTAGAATTACTGTCAAATGGTATTTGTCCATATCCATTCTCTTTCACTTCAGTGACATTTAAATTCCAGAAAACCTGTTCATAAGTCAGTCAACTACTAAGTTCCACCACTTTTTTTTTTTAGTTTTACTATAAAAACAAATTATTTAAGCACTCAATACATTGAAGAGCCAGTCTGCCTAGTCAAGATAAACTGTTTTGCTACATGAAACACTGTGCAGCAACTTCAGCACAATTTAAGGGACAAGATTATAAGCTACCAGCAACACAGTGGCATTATCTAGATTTCCCACTTCAAGAAAAATAATTGCAGTGTACTTTAGGTACAGATATCTAAAGCTCCAACAGGTGTAATGACAGCGTCCAGCTGCTTACCATGAAAACCTCCTCCATAATTACACAGGCACAGACTTCAGTCCATTCAATATTGATCAGAACCACAAAGCCACTACCAGTTCAACTTGTAGTTCTGAGCTGATAGCACACAGGCAACAAAGGTTCCTTACCTTTCCACTCCCTCTTAGCCTCAAAGCACATAATTATGTGCCAGGAGCTTGATTAAGCCAACTGCCCTTCACTAATGACTGTGCCACCTGTTCAGATATTCACATCACTACAGTATATGAGAACAGCCTATAGGTAAATACTAACTTCTTAGTTACAGGATCATGTATTCCTTCACATACTAGTCTGGATTGTCTGATCTAGCTTCCTATATACATACCAGTGTGGAAGAATTCATGCTATGAACACACCTACTTCATCATTCAGCTCAGAATGAGCTAGAATGCTTACTTCTGACTCAAACCTTAACTAGCCTTAAAGAAACTGCAAGAAAATTAAAGTTCAATGCCAACTGGTAACCGCCTCTGTGCACTCAGACAAGCACATTCGCATTCTGCCTATCTTTTGAAGACTGTTCTTTCACTAATAAGCTTATATTTTGTTACCCTTAGCCAAAGATGCTCCCAAAGGACACCCTTCCCAGATACCTACATTCTTCTCCCACCAGTCAGGTCATCAGGTCTCTTGTTACTTACATGTAGTTCCTCTGTCCCACTAAAAGAAGTTTCATAAGTTGTAAACATTGGTGCTTTAGAGAAGCTGAACCAAAGCTACTTACCTCATCATACATAAATTGAAGAGTGAGTGCAGATTTGCCCACACCTCCACTGCCAACCATAATTACTTTATGGAGGGCCAAAGAACTCTGGTTCTTGCTCTTGCTGGCAGCCATTGTCCTGCTTGCCACAGATGAAGTACCAGGCAACTAATCAGATCTGCAGACAGAAGAAACAGGAGTCACCATCCATGACACTGGTGACATCAAGGCAGCATGCAGGTAAAGCATCTCACTAAAAAAGTGCCAAAATTTTCTCAAAGCAGCTATTAGTTGAACAAGCTGTTCTTATTAATAAGCCTATCTTACACAACTGCTATTTAAAGCAGTCTCCAAAAGAAAAATATCTCACTTCCTCAAACAGCATGAAATTAAGTGGTTCTCATTGTTCTTTTTATAAGGATTTAACCTTTAAAAAATGTTTATTTAATGTTGATGAAGCTTCACTTTAAACAGGAAGCAGAGTTATACCTTAGATCTGCTTATAGGTAGAAAGGTGACTTTTGATCTCTCTACATAGGCTAAGCAAAAAACAGACATACACAGTGAATTCTGGCAGGAACAAGTTGCAAAAGCTTCCAGCTGAAAGTATTATAACATGGCATTAGCATTTATTTTATACTCTTCCATCCTTCGGACGCTACAAGTCTAATTTGCTTTTGGAAAAAAAAAATAAAAAAATCCTGCTTTACTGCAAGAAATTCTCAGTTCTTCTTCTGATAATGCAAAGCCATAAAAAAGTAAGCTTAAATAAAGTACTAGTTAACAAGCCTTTATCTGTGTATCATGGAAACCAAGAAATTAAGTACTAGACACCTCATAAAAATAATACTGATTTTTCTAAATTTATTTTTTAAGAGTAGCTGGACACAGTACTTTTGACGGAAACACAAGCATCAGCTCCCACACCCTGATTAACACAGATCAGCAACTCTATAAGCAGCACATTGGGAATAAATGCTAAAGTGACCGATATAAAAAGAGAAGTGTCACCAGTCAGGATTCCCACAGTGAAAAAAACATTCATGTGTACTCCAGACTCATGATGGCTATAAGGTAGATGCCAGGATAGTAACACTTGTGTCCTCACAGCAGGACAACTGTGAGCCTCAGCTGTTCATACCCTGACAGAGTGCTGTAAAGAGAGGAGCATGCCATCCAGGGAACACTGCCATGGAAAGTGGCTATACCAACCTTGATTTATAGCAGCACCCATTATTCCAGAAGCAACAGGTCTACCAGGAGTCTCAAATTTACCTGGATATGACTACACCAGAAAGACACTGGAACTGCCACATCATCAAGTTTTATTGGATAAAACTACAAGGCTTGCAGTAGAAGAGTATTATATTGGAAAAGCCTTCAGGATATCTAACTGCCCTAAACAAAAATAATTATGGACTAAGGGACTGTCAACCTGCAAACATACTACAGGATTATTTAGCCTGGAAATGACTTTTGGATGCTGTCCAGCCCAAACCTCTCCCTTAAAGTGGATTGTTTACAGCAAACTGCTTCACGTGCCCTGGACTCTGGGGTTGACATTTCCATGACCAGTCTGGGAAACCTGTGCTGGGATACACAGATTAAGATTTCTCCCCTTGTCATGACTTGATGTTCCTAGAAGCAACAAATCAAAGTTCTCATTGACTGCTTCATACAAGAATAAACATGCCAACATGAGGGCCAAGAAGTGCCCTGAGGATTGCATTTTCCAACATTTGAGCAGTAGTATTTTTCCACGCAGAGTATTTTACTCACAACTGTTTGCCATACACATTTAGTACAGTAATGCAAATTAATATTCTTTAAATGCTCATTCTGGGATAAACCCTGGTAAGTGAAGTCAGGTATTTTCCTCTGGTAATCTATACCACGTTACACACCAGCTCTCTCACCCAGGACACATCTTAGTACAGAAATGGGATGTGACAACTCCTACTTCTCCGATTCTCCCTGTACAGCAAATGTACATTCATGTTGGGAACAGTGAATTTAGCCATCATCCCAGATTCCAAACCAGAAGAGGACTATAAGCTTGAATTTTAGTTCTTAGTCACCAGAGAGGGAAGAGGGCAAAAGAACAAAGCAATCAGTGTGGAAAAACAGAGAACACAACTAGCATCTGAACTCCAGAAGTTGTTGCTGAAAGGCTTTCTTTGCTTAAGGTCCACATTTTCTAGAATTCAGTTTGCTCAGACATAGACACCCAAGGCACAAGAGCTACATATTGACTACAGAATTAGATAGTTGGGGGACTTTAAGAGTTCCAGCAATAACACAGCTTGCTCTTAGTAAGTTGTAGAGAAGTTTATTTTGTCCTAGTTCAAGAGCAGTCTGACTGTGATTGGAGTAGATAAGCTGCTTTCTGAAGAAACCAAGTGAGTCTTAACAACTGTTCAGTGCAATTGTGAGTGGTCTTAACCTTTGAGTATTCCTTTAACAAGCATTCTAAAGTTGTTGTAACTCCTGTGTTATCTAACATAAATCTTTCAAGTTAAATTTTTTTCTGGCAACACAAACTTAATCCTGCTGTCTATGAAGTTGCCTTCAGTCCACTGTGCTATACAACTACAATAAAGTTATTGTTTACTAACAGCCAAGAAAGAAGATAGTCACTTTCTCCCTCCCATCAATATAGATACCACACCTTTACCTGGTCATACTAAAAGAATAGCTGCCTTTTAGGTAAAATACTGACCAACTTGATTCAGTAAAAGCTTATCATGACCATGAGTGGAGATAATATTTAAAACCTTCCTTCTCCATTCCACCTCAACACCAGCCAGTAGAAACTGCAAGGTTATCCTTCAAACACAGTGTTACCTGGCTTGTAATCCAAGTATAGTATTAAGCAAAACCCACCCAATACCATACCAATTTATAGTTTGATTGCATCTAAAGCCAGCCCAGCTCTTAATGGCCAATGGACTTGACTTCCCCTGCAGAGCTATTACAAGTGTCACTTGATCTTTCAGAGTATCAACCCTACATGAACCCTTTGAACATGAGTCTACTCACAACACAACCTCTATGTTGTAGGCCCTCACTGTAATCATAGAAGTTTTACACAACACATCTCTTTGGTAGCAAAGAGAGAATAGCCCTCTCCAGTCTCAGAACAGTCAGGCAGTGCAGAACGAGGCAAGGCTGAAATGGTGTGGCACAGGATTGACACAGGCTGTATCAGTGCAGAAGCGTTTGCAACGTTTACAATGCTTATAAACCAGCATTTACAAGACAACAGGTTAATAGCACATCACTGGTTCAGAGAGGGGCACAGGGATTTTGGTAGGTGTATCTAATAAAACTAGGAAAGTCATTGAAGCCAACTGTTTGTTTACTTGCATTTTCACCCCTGCAGCCCAAGAAGCAACTTATACAACTTGGTTCAGAGCTCCCATGTAATGGTTCCTTGAGTTTTAAAAAAAATAATTTAAAAAATCAATTAACAGAAGTGAAAGCTCTCTCTTCAGTCTTTTCTGAGTTGGCAAGGATGAATTTTCATCCCATTCTGAAGATTAAGCATCCTTGAGGCAGTCAAGAAGTAAGTCTTGGAAAGTCCAACCACCTCTCATTAAAAAGTAGCAGTTTTTAGAAGAACCTGTGATTACCACAGTTGCTTTTAAAACATTATGCAACACCCTTCAGTTTAAGGGAATGTAAACCTAAGGCTAAGAGTCTTAATATATCTACTGAAGAGCCTGCCCTGAGTAACTGTCCAGACAAGTCATCACATTCTGTGATAAGTATTTCCCCTTCTCCCATATGGCTCTCTACCTGCTGGGAAGTCAACTACCCCCAAACAAAAAGATTTATGCACCTCTGACAGGAACAGAAGCAATCCTGTCACTGCCAGTCTGTCAAATCTGTTTGATTTCAATCTGTCATTTTACCCTCAGGCTTAATGACACAAAGTTGAACTTTGTGTGGTGTCATAAGCTTAAGAACTCTTTAAAAACCCTTACGCTGAAAAACTTTTTTTTTTTTGGTAATTTGGGGTGGAAGAAGGGGGCACTTCTGGTTACAGTTCATCCTTCAAAACAAAGAGCTAAACAGAGCTCAAGTCAGAGCATAAACTTTTTTCAGGCATTCTTTCATCTTTAAGAAATTAGAAGCAATTACCTGCTTCATTTGCTTTAAAGGTAAGGATTAAGCTATTGACTTGATAACTCTGGATTTTTTTCTTTTATAATAGGTTATACAAAGCTGTATTCACAATAGGAGCTTTGTGGTACTAGTGAAAGATGCTCTCCAAACCAAGAAATAAAGGTTGCACCAACTAACAGGTTGGCCACATGAAATACAGGGAGATCTACAAATCAAACCATAGTGGTTACTAAAAAGTTGTTTTGATTTAGACTTCTGAAGATCTGTACTTGGCCACAGAACCAATTAAATCATGCCACCCTCAATATAAGAAATTTAACTCTAAGCTCACCAACGATTTCAGCTTTCTCTTGTTTTACCTGTTTGGATTATAACTTCTCCAGGTTAACTAAGGCCTCCTGCTGTAGGGCAATCTGCACAATGTTGTGTCATTCTTGGCTGGTCCCTCAAAACTGAACACTTGAAGGCATTTGTTTATAAACAGCTTCATAGACTCCTAACTTGAGCATCAGTTTGCTATTTCTCCACCCTCAGCCTAAAGTTAAACTGTCAGAACACTGTTAACAAACAGACTGGTTTACCTAATGCCAAGATTAAGCGACTTTTACTGAATAACTACATTAACTTCAACCAGATTGAACTTTTACATCCCTTTTTACTTCAAAGTACAGTCACTTAAAGAAAGGAAAAAGCACTTGTAACTTCACAGGACAGGAACCCGTTTTGCTACAGCCCATGTAAACACATATGGAAAAAAAGAAACATGAGAAAATTAATTAGGCCTGTTTTCCAGTAAAAATTTTTACTATAACAAAAAATTCTAGATCCCTCCAAAGGCTTTAACTGGAATTGCTTATAGTTATTCCAATTCAGGTAGAGATCTAAAATTGAAATAAAACTGTAAGATCAAAATTGCTGAGATGAGTCCTTGTTTCACTGTGCAGCTGATATCTTTGGACGTTTCATTGCTATCCTGCCACTGAAAGCAGTCATTCTTCGAATTCTAAAACAGAATTCTAGAAACCCTTAGCCTACCAGCTTGACAGAGGAGCTTTGTG